GGGGTGTGCCCTGCCCCATGGCAGAGCATGTAGGGGCTGGCGCTATAGGTGTTGTCCTTTCTGGAGTGTGCCCTGCCCCATGGCAGAGCCTATAGGAGTTGGGGCTGTCGGGGCTGCCCTTCCTGGGGCACGCCCTGCCCTACGGTGGAGCCTATAGGGGCTGGGCCTGTAGGGGCTTTCCTTTGTGGGGTGAATCTTGCCATATAGAAGATTCTATGGGGGCTGGCTCTGTGGGGGCCCTTGTCCTTGGCGCGTGCTCCACCCTATGGCAGTCCCCATAGGGGTTCTTCTCCCCAGGGTGTGACCTGCCCTATAGCAGATCCTATAGGGAGCCACCAGGCTGCTCCCCCCGTGGGGCACCTGGGTTGTCCCTATTCTACCGGCTCTCCTCCATCAGGGATCTGCTGTCCCCTATAGCCCCTGCGGGAGCTGCCTTTACCTGCCCCCTTGTTCCATAAGGGATCGGCGTTTCCCTATGGAAGTTGTGTCTGCAGGTGCTCTTGTCCTTTGAGGAGAGATCCCATACAGGGACCCTATAGCATCCCTCTATAGGGGCGCTGGGCAACGGCCGTTGCCGCTTCTCCCCGTTAGTGCGGAGTTCATCAACCCCTGCCTTGTCTCACCCGGAGCCCTGAGTTGCAGGAGGGCGAGTTACACCCCAGAGGGGGGGAAAAGCCTTTTGGACCCGGCGGGTTGGCGGGAAATTTCACCCCGGTGCGGAAGCGATTGCGGCCGCCGCAGGCCGGGGCCCGGCCCCTCCGTAACGCGGCGCCTCCTGAAACTTTAACGTGTGGAGCTGCCCTACTTCGCCGGGCTCCCGGGGCGGTATTTTTAGCAGCCTGTTTAAATAAGAAAGAAAAATCTAGGGCTTGGGGTCTCGTCCCTGCTGCCATCTGACTTATTCGCTGCCTCGAGACTTCGTTGCGTCTCGAGGTCCCCGATGTGCGGGTCTCGCTAACCCCGTCCCCGTCCTCTGCCCGCTGTTGCAAGCTTTTGTTTTGGGAGGGTGTTTGCGGCTTGCTCCGGGCAGGCTTTCCTCTCCCACCACCCCGACCAGTCGAGCTGGTTTGGAGTCGGGCTGGGTTTCCATCTCCATCCCTGTAGACAAGGTGCCGTTCGCCCGACGGAGCCCCTCGCCCGCTGCGTCGTGGCTGCGGTACTCTCAGCCTCTCCCCTCAGCATCTTTTTTGGGGGTGGGAGCTGCAGCATCGCCTCCGAGGGCGCTGCCCCGGGGATGGAGGCTTTGCCACACCATTTAGCGTGATCTCTCTGTGTTTGTTCACTGGGTCTCGTGTTCGCGCTGCCCGACCTGCCCCGGGGATCGCAACGATGGGGGCGGGAGACGGGGGTCCCCGCTTCGGGGTGAAACCAGAGCATCCGAGCCCTCCAGCTCTGGAGACCCGCTGGCGTGTGCGGGTCCACGTTATGCCCCCGGGGCTCTTCCTCGCTCCCTGCGGGTATCCCCCGGGAAATATTTATCCCCACGAGCGTGTGGATCAAAATAATTCTGGTTTCAAAGGCAAGACTTGCTTGGAAAGCAGTAAACCGATCTGATCCGTGCCGTGGCACACACCTTACGGCGTTGTCTACGGAGAGCGCGGTTTGGTTACGGGACTGACCCTACGGCGTTGGGGCGCGGGGTCCCGCAGGAGGGAACGGGGCTTTCGGTTTCCGTAACGGGGCCCTGGGAGGGGCAGGGAACGGGATTTTCCAGTATCTGGGTTGATGATTAACCTGAGGGCTCTGCCTGCGGCTGGGGTGGGACGGGAAGGGATTCGGTTCTTATCAGCTCCCGTGGGCGCCCCA